AGGCAATCTTTTTAGTGAAAAAAAAAGATTTTTTCCTAGTCGGTTGCTTATAAGCCTGTAAAAGTTCGCCAGACATTATCAGTCATATAAGCAATATCGATCCGCGAAAAGTACTTTCCTTTCCTATCTTTCCTGGCAAAGTTTGCTGACAAGAACATTTCTTGCACTAGTGGATGGTGCCGTGAAGACTTCTGGGTACTATATTGCGCAATTTCTGCATTTTATAAAAAGGAAAATAAACAGCCATCCCAGTAAATGAAATATTTACAGAAGATAGTAAAAAGATAAGAAAATTAATTCGTGATTCTGACTTATTTTGGGATATTTCATCTTGCGCCATGGTGCAAGATTACGTTTAGGTTTTTTTCCATGTCTTTTTGATTTGGAGCCGCTTCTTCTACGGTCTTTCTGTTGGTAGCTCATTTACCGATTCTTAAACGAAAAACGCAGACGCGTTTTCGGAAAGCGCGCGAAAACTACATCAACTTYGATTAGTTGAAGGAAATTAATGATTCCTAAGATTTGGAAAATTTCCCCACGCCTCCCACGAACGATAAATTAAAGTAAAAATACTGTGAAAGACGGTATTTTCTGATTGAAAATAAGCCCGCTGTCTGGAATAAAGCACTTTAACGACATAATCAGACATTCTTTTAGGCTGAAATGCCACATTAAATATAAAAAACCTGCAAATATATAAAGATAATGACAACTCGAGAGTAATACCTTCCTTAAGCCGCAGGTATACTCATGCTCTTTGTGCTCATGTGACATTTTCTTCCTAATTTTCTCTAATTTTTCTTTTCTTTCATAATACTTGTGTTAGTTTATTATCGATTAATCATTGATTTGTCAGTTTATTAATAAATGATTCATTCAGCCGTTCGTTCATTTGTCATCCTATAGAGGCTTTGCATCATCACGTGATGGCAGCCATGACAGGAGGCAGGAACAATGGAACCTGGTCTAATATGATTCACATGAGAAAGAATTCAGTCGCCCATGGGAAAAGACGCTATTGCTGTGCCTTCTGTCATGGCTGCCATCACGTAATGGTTCAAAGCCTCTATATTCAATGAATTAAGTTGGATCTCGCGATCGTTCTTTCGTTCGAATTCGCTCGTTTATTTATGTGTCGATTAATGTAATGCTTTTCTCATTTGGTCTTTGGCTCCTACGATCGATTATTCGTTCGTGTATATTTATTCTGATCTCTTTTCTCTGTCACTCTCGTTGTTTTCCCCTTCTCTGTCGAAGAAAGTCCTAGGAATCGATACTGGGAAAACAGTTATACTACTAAATATCTGCTTCAGCGAGAATTCATTCTATAGACGAAACACTGCACAATTTACGCATTCACTCCAGTTTCAAGTTCCTTTTTTTCTCAGCCTTAGTCTTGCTGGTGTGTTAAAATACTCAGCCGTTCAACCGAAACCCGTGGCATTTTAATCGTCTCGTATTGTTCAGTAGTACGAACATTTCTTATACAACGAACCTTAATAAAGGAAAAGAACGCATCTTTTTTATACAATTGCTGGCTTTCACTGAAGCTGAATCGCAAGTTTTCAATATCAATTGTTTCTGGTTGACAGCACATGGTGGTCAGTGTTTGACCACCATTCGGAGCAGATAATGACATTCAAAGACTTTTATCAGCTGAGTGAAAGCCAGTAATCCAAGCTATAATGGCGAACTTGAAATTGGAGTATGATGTTGGAGTTACCTTCAACACTGACCCATCCATTGAATTTAAAGCTACCTGCTGGAACCAGAGTGCGCATGCTCGTAGGTCTGTATTCAAATGAGTCAAAATCGTTTCTTGTATTATCTTAAAACATACTACGAAAGTTGAAAAAATATAGGAACTAAAAACTTCAAACTTCACAAATATCAAATCGAGCAAAGCCCGTGATTATCGAAGCTATAAATTATTATTTCATTACTGAGTTTCTTGATCATTCAAAATGCTGCCGTCGTGTATGTATGATAAGCTTTGAAATTTATAGAAAGGCAAGTACGTATGCATTTTTTTTTTCTCTAATGTCACATGCGCTATAAAAGCAGGTGTAAAGGAAGCTTCAACCAACCAATCAAAGTCACACTACACTCGTTAAATCCAGGTTAGGATGGAGGCTCGTTCGCAGTGAATCATGGGTAGAAACCTAAATTTATTCAGTCGAAGTCCAAACGTCGAGAAGAGCAGAGCTCCGCTTCAGCTCATAATATATGCATTTGTGCGATGATAAGTCGGGATTTAAGAAATATGAGTGTATGAATTTATTACGTGACGAGTGTCCATCCTCTGCGTTATAATTTTAACGTCCATCCACCTTACATTTGTTATGAGCTATCTACATGATCACTATCTAAAGCCTCCTTTGCCCCCAACAATGGCGTTACGTATTAAATCCAATAAGAGTACGGAGAAATTGCCTCATATATTTTGCTTTAAGCCAATGCTACGCTCTCACCAGAATTATCCATGCATAACTGACATCGGTCATGAGTTGTCCACGTGATCAATACCCAAAGTCCCTGTCCCGTCCAGCAATGCCACACGTGATTGAACCCAAGAAATGTTCATACAAATCGCCTGATTTCGTTTTTAGCCAATGCCAACAAAATACAAGTAATGAATAACGATAGAACAGCTAATCGAAAAGAGTGAACTTTGACTTAAATCTGAGATAAGACTAAGGGATACGTGATACTGGAAATCAGTATAAAATTGCTCGACGCGACAAGTACATGCGCTCAGAACATTGCTACTGTGGCTGACCATGCATTATATCACCCTGTAACAACACAGTTCAAGTCAAAATTTTATTGTCTAATAGAAAAATCTTGAGTTAAGCGGAAAAGATTTTTAAAACTTCAAATGCTAGACAACTTATAACTTGCTCTAAATATTGTACGTTTAACGTATTTTTTTGGCATTTCCATTTTCCTTCGTAAAAGCTCTCCGAAATTCACATGCAAGTGGAAGAGGGCAAAAGAAAGCCAAAGACGTCAACGTCGATACAAAAGAATGGAGTAACAAAACGGAAACTTTGCAATTTGAACGTATACAAAACTCAGAACATCTTCATGAAAGTTTTTCTTTTTAAGCACACAACGCACAAGATTTGTGCTGCTTGGAATCTCCGAACTGCCCAAGATTGCTTCAAGTATAACAATATTCTTAAAGTGCGAAGAGATATACCACGTGCTGTAAGATCTTCATATTTTGGACGACATAGCACTTGACGCGAATTCAAACTTTAATTACTCTTGCGGTGATTGGAGGACTATTTCTCAAGAATGGTAATGTGTATATATTTTATAATTCTATACGAAAAATTTAGCAACTTGAGTGAACCCTCAGTCTTCAAAGATTTTCGTTCCGTTGCATTCAGATGCTATCGCAGGGACACTCTTGGACACATTCAAGTTGCATTGAGATCAGTAATAATATCCGAGTGAAAACTTCAGTTTTCTATGATGAGTTTATGAGATAAACTCTATATTGTTAGAGCAAGAAGCACTATGAAGCTAGCTTTGGGAAGAAAATAAATATTTTACAATCTTACTAGGACCTTTTATTTCAAAAGACGAGTGACTTTTATTTCAAAAGAAGCCTTAATTTCTAGTATTTTAGTGCCTTAAATAGATCTATTTAGCGACTTTTCGATCAACTTCAATCTACATTTGGTTACCGACCGTATGCTGCATTACTAGGAATTGGAGTCTACAAAACTTATTGGCGCACACTGAATTTTCTTTCATTTGAGTTCTTGCTAAAGTATTTGGATGTGACCTATTTAATAACTTCTCCGAGAAAGAAATAATACTCAAGGGAAAGGCAGGCGGAATCAAACAGAAAAATGCAGTTAAAAAGTTTGAGTCTATTTTGAGGATGTCTCTAGATGCAGTTTCCTGATCACGTGTCTGCAACGTGTTTGTCACAAGCTCATCAGATGGAACAGCTTGATTGACTGACTTTTTCTCATCCTGATTATCACATAAATTAATCTTCCGTTCATGAAGCGACTTCCATTTAATATGTGACATTAATAAAGCTTCCCYTTAAAAGCAAACAATGCCGTCAGCAAGGAGCACTTTATCTTATGTCACTTCGCGACACTTTCTCTCCAACTTCCTCAATGATAACCTATTATTTGTATTATTTGTCATAAACTTCTTACCTTTTTGAATTAAACATTCTGACCTCGGAAATAAACTCGATGTTATACTGACTAAGATACATTTACATTTCAAATGTTGGATTCTTTTTCTTATTTACTTAGCGTTTCTTTATAGGAAAGTTCGGATTATTTTCAACTTTAAATTTTGTCGTCCCGAATCCAAGGGCTTGGAACAGGTGTTTCAGCTGTTGAAAAGAGCGGGAAAAACAAGTCACGTGATGACGGTGTCTTCACAACTTTTTTGATTACTTTTAGATTGTATTAATCATATTTTTCAACTGTATTTGTCTTTTAAAACTGGAAAACAAATGTTATCGAGCTTATGAATATTAAGAGATAAACCTACCAGTCGTTTAGCTACTAAATTCATTTCTATCACAATACTTTTAATTTGCTTTTTTATGATTTTTTTGAAACCGTTAATTAATTTTTCCATGTACAAAACTATTACGACTGCAAGTACAGGTAGCATTAAGCGCTATATTTAAAAGCGTAAAGAGCTACGTACCAAAGTAAAATAAAACTCACTCAAAGATATTCGGAAGTTCATTTTTTATTTTGACAAGAAAACAAATATCAATTAAAACGGTTCTTGTAATCTAAGAATGAGTGCGTTGTTTACTATATCTAGAATTCGCACTCTGAACAGCACTTTTATGCCTAGCTAATAGAAAACCCTCGTCACTTGGTAGTTTGATGTGGCCTGCAAGTCAGGATTCCATTTTAGATTTTTAAATTTCAAGAATTTAAAATTTAAAAATAAACAAGTATCAATAGGATGTATTTATTGCGAATCAAAATAGTAGTAGTCGGTTAACCAACTTAGATAGATCAAATGTTTAACGATAATTTCAGTTAACGAAATAAAATGTCGTATCTATTTAAAGTTTAAAAAAAAATCACGCCAGTTATCAGATCGCACATTTCGTTTAGCTTGAAGTATACGGTTGAAAAAAGATCGGATCTTTTCGAACTTAGTTCCTAGTGCAGCCAAGATATATTGACCCAGTTAGCAAACCGCCTAAAGGTGTCAGAAGTAAATGCTTTCTTGACATGCTAAATGACACGGTTCTAATCCTGTATTCATAATGAGAAGCTGTTATATTGACATTGCTACCCGCTTTATATGCCAACGTTTGACCGACTAAATGAAAAAAGTGGTTTACTAAAGACATTTGATCCATTCAAGGATGACGCTTTCACAAAACAGGCCGTGCTAAAATGCTATTTTTAAGCCGTTTTTAATGGTAGAGGAGGACTTGCTCTGATCAGGTCACATTGAAAGCGCATCCAAACATCATAAAACACATTTCAGAATCAGGGCAGGACTGTCCAATTTTGGATGATGTCGACTTTAACTGAAAGTAAAAACGAAACAGGGATTCCCGACTGTTACTTTTTACCTCAACCAGAGTTTTTCCTTGTAGAAAAAGAGCGCCATACGACAAATTTGGCCACAGCCGGTATCAATCTTATTTTTGTGCCCATCGCCATCATCACCAATCTCTTGATCATTCTCGCTGTCTCTAAGAACTACCTTCTTCAAAGTCCATCCAACGTCTTGATCTCTTGCCTGGCGTTTTCTGATCTTCTGGTTGGACTGATAGTCCAGCCTTGTTTCATAACATTTAGGATAATGGAAAATATAAGTCTTTTTGTGCCGTGCAGTTTTCGGGTTGTTTACTCTGAAAGTTTCTGGGTTTGCTATGGCGTATCTTTCATGATGTTAAGTGCTATCAGCTTCGAGAGGTACATTGCTTTGAGACTTCACTTAAGGTACAAAAACGTCGTAACAACTCGCTGTATTCTCAGAGCAACTACCATTGTCTGGGCTATGGATATTGCTCTCACAGCTTTCCAGTGGCTTTGGATGGATTACAAATACGTTCGCGTCATACAAATTACATTGTTTCTGCTCTGTATTGTTGTAACTCTCTTCGCACACTTTAAGATCTTTCGCATAATGATGCGACACCAAAAACAAATCCAAGCACACGAGACGAAAGAAAGCCGTAGCTACCAGAAACAAACGAAGCTTGCTATCAACGTCACTTACATCGTTGGGTTTTATCTCCTTTGTAACATGCCCGTTTTGATCGTGCAGTTGTGTCAATACGCAATGGAAGTAGAGTTGGCCTCCTTGAACGTGTATAGCTGGGTGGAAACGATTGCTTTTTATAATTCTTCGTTGAACCCCCTGGTTTGTTGCTGGAGAAATCGCGATATCCGAAGAGGAATTATTAGAATGATCAGGCGGATGGATTGTAAGCAGGACACGCGAAAAAGATCGAAGTCAAGTGCCTATTCAATTCCCAATGGTTCAGTCAATTCGCGAGGTGATGAGCCCAGAAATGCTGCAGGAACAGAAGAGAACACTTGAAAAAGGTTCAAAAAAGATGCAGCGCTGTCAAGCGGGAAAGAAAATTAAGAAGGGCGCCGGATAGCTCCCTGAGTCGAGGAAAAGGGAAGATAGCAATGGAAGAAGTTAAAATAGAGAAGAAGAAAGGTTCTGAATGCGATCCATAAATTGAATATAGACTTTTGGACTTACTTTTGAATCCGTGAATATAATATCCAGGAAATTCGAAATCTTGAATTCAGAAACTTTTCTATGTATCTTTCATATTCGGGTAAATGTAGATACATTTTCCGTGTCGTACGCAAACAAATTCCAAACAAATTCATTAAGCCAAATAATTTAATTACTGAATTTGTGGCACTTCGGGCCAAGATGATCAAGTTTGGATAGTCTTTCGGGATGCATAGTAGGATAATTCTGCCGTAGAATGATGTAAAAAATATATAATGAATCCAAATGTATGATTGAAGGCTGGTATGATATAATATTTTTTAATTTCCTACATATCTAAAAAAAGTAACACGCAAAAAATACAAATCTTATATGATATAGGAAGCTGTTTTCCAGTGTTCTACAAAATTAAGTAAGCACGACTGAGTACAAAAAAAAAATCCACTTTAAAAAAGTGGTTTCCCGGCTTTTTTTATTTACTTATGTAATCAGTAAATATTTCTTCTGCCCATAAAGAGGGAAAAGTGGTTCTGGCGTTTTAAAAAAAAAACAAACAAAAAACTCATACTGGTAGCTTCTGCCGTAGAATAATCATGTAAAATATATATAAAGGCTGGTTTAGACGGTACGATTTTCGTCTGTCGTAGGCGAGTTGTAGGCTTGATTTACACGCTACGACTCGAGTTGTAGGATATGGCGCTAGCGTGTTGTACACGATAGTTGTAGGCGAAAATCGTACCGTCTAAACCGGCCTTAATGAATCCAAATTTATGATTGAATGCTGGTATGATATAATATTTTTTGACTGATTTCCTACATATCTAAAAAAAGATAACACGCAAAAAATATAAATCTAATATAACATAGGAAGCTGTTTTTAGTGTTCTAAAAAATTAAACAAGCAAACTGAGTACAAAAAAATAAAATCGAATTTGAAAAACTCATCCAATATGGTGGCCATGACGACGTCACACGCAAAACCATTTCCTTCATTACCATGAGATTTAATTTGTTTCTTTGCTTTGGAAAACAACGTTTTTGATCGTAAACGTTGATTCTGAAGAATCCTGCATTGCATTTACAAAGGCAAAGTGTAAACATATTATGAACCTTCATTGATAGAGTCAAAAAATACTCTCGTTTGTCGTTTCAGATTTATTGATTTTACATGTTCTAGTTATACAGCTGTTTAAGAATAAATAAAAACTTGAATCCAAAGAAAGTTATATCTTTATCTTTGTCAATAGTAGAGTTAGTTCTCGTAAGACTGAATTTCATTTGAAAAGTGCGGGTTAAAGCTGGGTGCGGGGAACGCTCTTCCAGGTGAAGTCAACATCCATTAATATTTTTTTGTTTAGTTCTTTTTTTTTCTGGGGCAACTCCCGAAGAACCAATTCCAGCTACGTACCGACCTTAGTGCAAGTAATTTCCCTCGGCGATAAATCAAATAACTGGCCGTCAGTGACTATATGAGCGCGAAGCCTTGAAATCAGGTTCAGGAACATGAGATACCCAGGCGCTTCTTTGAAATCATGGTGAAATTAACGAGATTGCGGTTTGCGCAATACTAAAACGAAGCGAAACGAAACGAACAAACATTGATTAAATCAAGCAAGACTGACCATGCTCTTGACCCCAGAGCCTGGCTTTAGTATACACACTGGCAATAGACTACGGAGCTTTGTGGTAGAGAGTGCCCGCGCTATTTTGGACTGCGGAAGTTCAGGGGCAAGACATGCATACGCATCATATGTCAGGGACGGCGGAACCGGGGGAGGGGGGGCTGGGGGGACTTTAGCCCCCCACGTTTTGTGAAATTTTAACACATTTTCACTAAACTCGCCCCCCCCCCCTCCAATCAAAAAACTGCTCCGCCGTCCCTGTGTGTTTGTGTCAATTTAAAACTTTACTTCTCCAATTTTTTTGAACAAAGAAATCTCTCAAGTATCGTGGGCCGCTAAAAGTGGGCGTGTTTGTGTGTCATGAATATTTCTTCCTTTACGCGGTCTGAGAAAATTTCAAAGTTTTAAAATGAAACTGGATGAAAAAAATCTGTTTTCGCGTGAATCACAGTGACGTTTGGAAGGGAAATTATATACAATAAACTAATTAACAATAATCTTGCAAAGACAAAATTGTTTCCTTCTCTTGAAGATTGAAAAATTTTTTTTTTCACAGACGAAATTTATTGCAAGAGCCGGCCAACATAGTCTTGCATAAAAGACTTGCATGAAGAATGCGAGGGAAAACGATCAAGAGTTCGAGAAATCGATTAAGAATTTTCCGAAAATTTGCCGACCTATCAACGACTTCCACGCTGCTCGCGCCCGAGACCGTTCGGGATGACCGATGACGTCAGGTCGTAACCCGGACTGGTTCCGACACTGGTTCCTAGTCCTAGACCGACAGCCAACCGTTTCAGTCCAGTCAGTTCAGTAGCCATTGTTTTAATATTGTAAATATATTTTATCGAAGCCTTTCTGCACCATTTAAAATAGTTTCCTCTATCTTACCTTATTATCAATAATGGAAGAAGACGTAACTACCTATGAATGCCTTCTAAAATGGGTAAGCTTGAAGAATTTGGATATTTTAGAGCCAAAATTGAAGTCGAACTCGAAGTGGACCGTCGAGAATTCTGAGAGTTTGAATTTTCAACGATGTTTTTTTAATGTTATTTTGTCGTTAGCTTAAAACTTTTGAGGGAATCAAGGCTCCTCATTCTAATGCAGAAGAACTGATGGACGGTGTAGCGCTGTGTGAATGCTTAGCTGAAATGTGAGTAGAGTTTTTACGTGGCTTAATCCAAATATGAAATCATTGGTTGAAACTATTTTGGGGTCTCCAACAACAGTATTAATCTCCACAAAAATTTTTCATATTTAAAAATCTTTTAATTAAGACTTAAGCTGTCTTCCTTCAAGGGAAAAAGCTTTTAAAACTCAAGAATACTTTAAATTATCTCTAACATGCTTGCACACTGTATATATTTTCGTTCTAAAATTCCAATTGATGTGTAAAGTCAATAAGCTTAACACTGAGGTGAAAATTCCAATATTGATAGAAATAATATATTGAATTACAATTTTATACATTTTGAGCTTTTTTGTTCTCAAAATGTATATATAAGTATTAGCTTTTCTAAAGCCTTTTTCCTATAGCCCAGTTAGTTTTAAAGATAACGAATTTTTTTTTGTTTCCTTAGAAAAATTAACGAAGATTTTTAGACTTATTGGTTCCATAAATGTATTTAATTGGTAATCAAATTTGAAAGATTGTATTATCAAAATCCTATAAATTCATATAGATGTCCTATAAATCGATTCCAACTATGGTAGTGTCTGAAAATATATATTACAACATTTTCACCAGTAATATTGAGAATATTCTAGGTTAGACTTAAATATAATTGCTGGAATTATATAAGTTTTGTTTTGCTTATTAGTGCATTACTAATGTGCCCTTATATTGCTTTAGTGCTCCGGACTGGTTTGATGATGAATGGATGTCAAAGATACGCAGGGACATTGGGGATAACAAGAGATTAAGGGTTTGTTATACTTTTTTAATCAAAAAAGTACATAAAAATTCATTTTTTTTTTTGTTATGGGTGTTATTTTGTGCTCTGCTGTTTTCTTGTGTTGCAAGTGTGTTAGCTGATGCATTATATTTTTTGCCTTGGGGGTTTTTCCCAGGATCTAAGTACTGTTTATTCCTGCATGAGAGGACTTTCAAGAATAATATGCTGTACAGTACAGTATTTTGYGATTAAACTTAAAAAGATGAAATTTTATCTCAGTCTGTTAATTTTTCTTATAGAACTTATTTATTGCCATTCTTAAGAGTTAACTGTGCTTTGACTTTGATCAGCCTAGAAGTTGTTTCAGGGTTTGATCTGTGAGTTAACTGTGCTTTGACTTTGATCAACCTAGAAGTTGTTTCAGGGTTTGATCTGTGAGTTAGCTGTGCCCTGACTTAGATCAGCACAGAGGTTGTTTCAGGGTTTGATCTGTGAGTTAACTGTGCTTTGACTTTGATCAACCTAGAAGTTGTTTCAGGGTTTGATCTGTGAGTTAGCTGGGCCCTTACTTACAGTAGGTCAGCTCAGAGGTTGTTTTAGGGTTTGATCTGCAAGTTAGCTGGACCTTTACTACTCTTCTCAGTAGACTGAGGCAGCTGGAACTTTTTAATCACATTCATAGCGTCTGTTATATTATCCAGAAGTACATTTCAAATCGGCCACGTGGTACAACATTGGCATCACGTGGCCGATTTGAAATGTACTTCTGGATCACATAAAAGACACTACAAACGCGATAAAAAAAGCACAACTGCCTCGGTCTACTGGGAAGAGTAGTATCTTGAACAGCTCAGAGGTTATTTCAAGGTATCAACAAGATTAGGAATATGAAAAAAAATATTTACTAAGACACTTTTCAACCAATGCATTCACTGAATTCATTAAACTTTCCAAGAAATTAAGGAACACAGCTGGTTTAAATTAGTTCCTTCAATCTTCAAAAATATTCTAAGAAGGAAAAAAAATTGCTTAAAAAGTATTTATGATTTAAGTTTTCCGGGAATTGAATGATCATTGTACATAATTAATTCATAAATCTTTTTTCTAATTTAAAGCTAATGCCTCCATGTACTATATTTTGAAGTTTTGAAAACTTTTTTGAGGCTATACAATGTTTTGGAAGTCATAGTGTTTTTTTTTTAAATTATATTTTTGATCTTGTTTATATACAAATGGAAAATACTTTGATCTGCATTAGCATTGATCTTGGACCATCATTTTWAAAAAGTTTTGAATGGTTCTGATCAAATTAGCAAGAACCTGATTTAATGTTAATTCCAATCAATAGACCACCGTCCTGTATTAGCATCATGGGGTTTGTTTTGACTTAACATTGTTTACTTTAAACAAAAGCTTAATTAACTGTATGTAGTCTACCTACCTACAGACTATAATACCATGTCTGCATTGTGGGATCATTAACAGCAATAAGATACTATACCTACAATGTACAGTAAAAACAATATCTTAAATGCGAAATTGAAGTAACCTAATAGTCGACCTGTGTTTCGAATTCCAAATAACCGCTGTGTTCCTTGATTACAGACTCATTTGCACAGGGTTAGCCTTGTATCAGTGTTTAAATATTCACAAATACCAACAGTAAAGTAAAGAATGCACAACTTCAACAATACAAACATTTTGAAACTTGGCGGATCTTGACTGGAACATGTGAATATTCTGCACAAACTCGAGGCTAATCCTGTGCAAATGAGTCTGTACTGTAATCAAGAAACACAGCGGTAATTTGGAATTCAAAACGGGTCTATTTAGAATTTTAATAAAAGGTCATCACTAATTGTCAAACATTTGAAAAACTTAATTTATCTTCATTGAATACGTTCATTGTGTACTGTATTTACATGTGTACAGGTATGTTCSTTGCTTGGACCCCTAGGGGCATATCCAGCAATGGTCAGCAAGAGTATACATTCTCTGCATTCTCAAGATACTGGGAATGCCATATTCTTAGCRACAGTAATTGTATCATCACTCTATAATCCCATAATTTAAGCAACTATTGTATTATTTTCAAATTCTCTTTCCTGTCCAAATTTAAGATTAATTTGGATTGTTTGCATTCGCATTCTTTCGATAAAAAACTATGACTTATGGAATCAATCTAGTGTAGTTTGGGATATGATATAATTAATCTCCAATAGGACTACATGTCTGTCAAATTTGGGAACAATTGAATTCAAAAATTCCTCTGACTGCCAAAGTGGACTCGGCTTATCGGCCTCTTCCAATTTTGTCAGTCCTCGGAATATTTTTCATCCAATTATTTTCAAATTGGACAGCATGTAGTCCTAWATTACCTATACTAATATGTTAYGTATTAATTATTATTTTATAAAACTATTGAAGTGCAAATCGATATGACAGTCTACTCTATCTGAAAATGGATGCTTAGTCTAAGAGCTTGACTTATTAACAAYTTATTAACRATTTATTTAYGAYTCGATTTACTRTTCGGCTACTCCRACCAAAGCCACCTCGACAAATTTTCTACAAATTAGCCAATCAAAAGTAGGAATATGAACCATAGAATTGCTACGAATTGGACAAATATCCATGGTTTACACGGCTTAGAAGACTGCCA